ACTCACTACATATTGAAAAACACTAGAATGAGCTCATCTTCACGAAAGTCACATGGGTTCAAAACAAAATATACTATTGCCATCAGTATGTGATAGAAATAGTCGACTCATTTGTTTAAGGCTGTCGTACAAAAACTCAATTAGATGTATTTTAGGTTTTCAGCCCAAACTGTACCTTATACGGCACATAGGCTGAACGACCATAATTTATAGAGGGCAACCACTCACCAGCACCCGACACCTACGATGGAACTTTTAACTGAACAACAATTTATAACGCTAAAATCCTGGGGTCGATTTCTAAAACGAACAAGTGTCTGAAAACTTCCATGAAATTAGTAAATTGATTACCTCCAGTAACTGAGCGGTAAGTCTGCAGGCTTATTTCGTTATAAACCGGGTTTCGATACTCGTGGTGGGCACACAGTACAGATAGCCCATTGTGTAGTTTTGTGCTTTAAAACAAACAAAATTATTACGCTCTCACAGCTGAAATGCGGAGAGCATTCAGTGGTAAATCACGGCTCGAACTATGGACTTTCTGATCGGCAGCTTGGCATGCTAACCACTAGGCCACAACAGAAAAATCAAGGACAGAGCTGTACCCAAGTTGTGATGGTGTGAGAATAAACCAATCAAGTCTCCAAAACAAACCTACTGAAACAAAAGCGCTTAATATATCACGGCTCGAACTATGGACTTTCTGATCGGCAGCTTGGCATGCTAACCACTAGGCCACAACAGAAAAATCAAGGACCTAGCTGTACCCAAGTTGTGATGGTGTGAGAATAAACCAATCAAGTCTCGAAAACAAACCTACTGAAACAAAAGCACTTAATATATCACGGCTCGAACTATGGACTTTCTGATCGGCAGCTTGGCATGCTAACCACTAGGCCACAACAGAAAAATCAAGGACAGAGCTGTACCCAAGTTGTGATGGTGTGAGAATAAACCAATCAAGTCTCCAAAACAAACCTACTGAAAGAAAAGCACTTAAATTTCACATGTTCGGAAGAATATGTAAATTCAATACTTTAAATCAGACTTGATTGTAATCAATTTGTACTATTTTCATCAAAAACATATGTGGTTCTTTTTATGTAAGTTTCAAACGTAACTCATTTACAGTCTACATAGGTTGGCAAAACAGTGCACTCTGTTGTACTTGTGAAAAAAAAAAAGATTTGGATTTTGCGCAGAATTAATCGAGGGCCATCTGCGCTAGCCGTACCTAATTTAGCAGTGATAAACTAGAGCAGGGATGGCGAAACTATGGCACGCGTGCCCAAGGTGGCAAACGAGAAAATTTTCTTGGCACGCGGAATTCACTGCTGTCCCAAGTTTTTTTTACCCGACTAATATATATATATATATATATATATCTGAAGGCGTAGAGATTGTATATGTCTATAATTAATTAATTATATAATAATTATATATAAAATATTTATAATACATAAAATTAATAATAATAACAGTAATTTTGCTGCTCAAAATTTCCATGGGCACGCGAAATATTTTTTTGTTTTGTTTTACATTACATAACTTTACTGGAAGTAGGACTCTCGCGAGAGTTTATTGAAAACGCATGAAATCAAACAATTCTTAGTGTTTTCAGAAACATTTGTTCTTTTGTTGTTATTGTTGTTGTTTTTATCCGCGGTATCGCGGCTCATAGACTGGCTCTGAGTTTGTTTGTTTTTGTTGTTTTTTTCAGACACAAACTTTTTAGCTCATATCTCTATCTCTTGACCGATTTGAGATCTAATTACAACCGCAGCTATTGAAAATTCCTCTTGTTTTATTTTACTCCCACTTCTTTGTGTAGAATGGTGGTTCTCAAACTGTGGCCTGCGGACTCCATTCAAGTGATCTATGTCCCCCAGTAGGTCAGCGGTAACTTTACAAACTTACAACATTTAAATCGGGGTTCTATTCTCTGTGGTGAATAGATCGCAGATAGTCTATTGCAGTGGTTCCCAATCTGGTGTTCTCAGACTCCTGGGGGTCCAAGAAGGTAATACTGGGGGTCCGTGAGCTATTTTCTTTAATTAAATAATGCACGGAATAACACGTAAAATGCTGAGACTATTCTATAACTGTCAATTTTTCGGGCTTTAAGTATGTGAGAAAAGCCGTTAAAACGAGTTAATTATTAGTTAATAAAATCAGTTTGTTGGGTAAACGGAATCTTTCAAAAACATAGGGTCCGTGGAGAAAAAATAAATAAAAGGGGTCCTTGGAAGTGAAAAGATTGGGAACCGCTGGTCTATTGTATAGCTTTGCGCTTAAGGTCTGAATTTCGCGCAAAGCTACACGATGGCTATCTGCGCTAGCCATCCCTAATTTAGCAGTGTAAGACTAGAGGGAAGGCAGCTAGGCATCATCATCACCCACCGCCAACTCTTGGGCTACTCTTTTAGCAACGAATAGTGGGATTGAATATTACAGTGTTACTTAAAAGTATGAGGTAGTTAACAAAAACAAAAAACAAGAGGGGATACTCAATAGCCGCGGCACTTGAAATTCTTTTAAGTAGGATTAGAGTAAATTAATCTATGAGACCTTTATTTCTTTAATTTTCATTAGTTGTATTTTTGTGCGCCAGCTTTTCCAAGTGTGGGGCGCGCGTATACTCGATTCGATTTTATTACTGCTCAGGATCTCTACTTGCCTACCATCAAACTGAAATGCTTTTAGGCAGGATTAGAGTAAATTAATGTATGAGACCATGGACGTGGTCAAATACATCAATCGAAAGGGTTTGACCTCCAGCGTAGAAAACTAATTAGATCTCAAATCGATTAAGAGATGACGGAACTATGAGCTACAACTTTGTACTTGAAAAAGTCAGAGCCATTCTACGCTATGCTGCGGCTAAAAATGTAGTTCCATATTAAAGTGCTCATATTGGCGTTCATATATTTATTTATTTTCTCAAGTGCTAATTTTATCAGTGTTAACGTACATAAAAACATAGTTTAGTGTTATTCATTACTAGTTTTACTGGTGTGTGATTGAGCTTTAATCCGATCATTAGATGAATATTTAAGTCTCAAATGCATTTGTTCATACAGCAGATAGAAAAAAAAACAGTCCCCCTTAAAGAAACAAAAAAAACCCAAACGGAGACATACATTATTTACAATTCACGTCTGGCTTTTCATGTTGATTCATCAATTTTTTTTTCATCTTTATTTTCTTGTAGCGTAAAAAGAACTGGATGTAATAGAAAAAAGAAAAGTGCGAAGTAAATGATTAATTTATGTGTATTCACTGAGTTTCAGAAAGCTAGGTAATAAGGAGATATTTATTTTTATCTAGCACTATTCGTGTTCCAAACACATGTGATGTTGAAATGGCACAAATGAGTGGGTAAGGTGACTTCCTGCCACGCGCACTTCGGATTCATGAGCACGTGAAGTAACACCCCCATCTCCGAGGCATCTGTTGCCATTTAAGAAACAAACGTGCACGTTTAACTCATCCCTCCACGTTTGGTGTCTGTCGTACACAAAACGAAACGCCTCAGAAGACAAAGTGCAGAGTGGAGGTACACCTGTCGTTCGTACATTTTGTCACCAGGGTGTTAGCTAAACTAAAAGTTATATAAAGACACTTTTTTCAGTCAGACCGTAGTTAATTAAATTCAAAATAACCACACAAACATGCAAGATATCAAGAGGTTCTCTAGGATTATATTTGAGCAAAACGTGAAAAAACAAACACAAAATACAAACGTAGTAACAAACATATACACACTCAGATGCATCTAGACGAGTTTGTTTTTTGTTCACTTAAAGTATTCAAAACATTGTTTTTCAAATAAAAAAATGTTAGGTACAGTAAATAGTTTTATCATTTCAAATGGCTAATACTTGGGTTACAAATTAATTCTAACTTAAAAGAAAATTCATTAAAAGCTGTTTCAAATTTCTTTAAATATGCCCTCCAGTGGCACAGCGGTATGTCTGTGGACTTACCATGCTAAAAACCGGCTTTCGATACCCGTGATGGGCAGATCACATATAGCCCATTGTGTAGCTTTGTGCTTAACTGTAAACAAACATTTTTTTATATTTTGTAATGAACCAAAAATATAGTTTTTACTATCAGTCAGTCATTCATTTGTTTGTCGTGTGGTGAAAATTGTATGTTTACAGCTAATTTTTTTTTTTTTTTAGTATTTATGATGAAATATATATATATATATATTAGGTTAATCATAAGTATTAGTTTTTTTTCTATTAAAACCTACTTGGAAACTCAAATAGTGACAAGAATTGCAGGAAGCTTGAAGAATTATTTAATTAAAATGCTTGACTCCACAAACATTATCAATATACATTGTAATATACACAAACACAGATTCTCAGCAGTTATACACTGAGTAGTTGTTTTCAAAATGGTAATAACCATTTAATTACAAAGATGTAAAAATTGTTCATTACGGGGGAACTAGCCCCACAAAGAGTAAAAGATATACAGTAAGTTTTAAAAATATCTTCCTAACTTTAAAAAGCAGTGGAAGGGAAAGATCTTGGAATCTTGGTGGGCACTGCACAAATAGCTAATTGTGTAGCTTTGCGCTTAACAATGAACAAACAAAACCATCCACGCTGTGATTTAATTGTCACTGTTGTAATGCACCCACAGGTGGGGGAATATTTTTGGTATCGTTCCAATTGCAATCTAGTTCACCAGCTCCGAAATTCAGAAAGAGATTTTGCACGTGTCAACTCGCAGTTTCAGTTTAGCTTAATTCAAAGCTTCGATGATTATTTTTGCAGTCATAACTAATATTTATATTTACTAATTGACAATAAATTAAAACATTAAGCAAAACAAATATCTATGAGATTATCTTATAAAATTAATCATTGCACATAATATTTTTCTTGACAATTTTATTAGTTTCCTTTTTGAATGTGATTATGATAAAAAAAAAAACATTTTGTGTTAGCTTTTATTAAATGAGGTATTTATTTAGAAAATGGCAAACTTGTATTTAGACGTCATCGTGATGGCGGGACAAGTTTGTTTTAGGTTTTTAGTCATGTGGTTCATTGTAACATAAGTAGACAATGAAGTGTTTTTCTCCTACATGTGATTGATAGGGCCGATTTTCTTCTATAACTAAGTATAAGTACATTTTATTCAGTACAGTATCTAATAACCATGTAAGAAAATTTGAGTTTTAAGACTTAGAACTAACGAGTAACATGGTATTGACTATTGTCTCTATGGTTTTTAATGAATTACTGAATTTCATCTAAGTCCTTAGAAGTAATAGTAATACAGCGAAAGTTTCCGATCTAGCTGTGTTAATGATAATACTAGAAGCAGGACCTAGAATTTAGTCTTACTATAATTTCTATAATATATACTGACTAAAACTAACACACAAGAACTCAAAAATTCTGAAACTAACAGTAGCACTATTAGAAGTGGTACAGAGGTAGGCCTAACGTAAGCCGTAATTTTCCGCGCTACAACAGTCAGTTGTACAAATACACGTTGTAGATTACTAATAATAATATAACGCTAGGCCTAGTATCACTATCAGTACGGTCACTAGCGTCAGTGTTAATACCAACAGAACTTCACATATTTCTTAAAAACAAAACAAAATATTGGCTGTTAACGTCTTTTGTTTGTGAGGTTGAAGTGCAAACTGCAATGTCCAAAAAGTAAACTCTTTTTGGATCTTTGTAGATCTATACACTATACCTCACATAAAAATATTTTCTTCTCATTAGAGGGCAGCACCCTTCGTAAATATTTTAACTTGTCAGTAAGCCCTATACTAGTTATAAAACTGAAAAACAAAATTTGTTTGTAACATCTGAACTTTGAATTGTCACTGCTCATGTTTATAAGGGTAAAGGTGTGGAGTTGATGTACCTGCATTTTGAAAGATTAAACGAATTAGTGGATTAGATGAATAACCATTTTCTTAAACATGTTGCCTTCGCTGTAATGCTTGACAACCCTTGTTTTTCGTTATATGGTGGTCATAGTATCCATACATCACTTCCTTTTATAAATGCAGCAAGGTGTTAAGGACTATCTAGGTGTTTTTTCCCACACAATTTTCACAACCTTTGAATTTTGGTTGTTTTCAAACTATAAAAACATATCACCAAGAAGAATTTCACAAATATCTCCTGGGGAAATAATCAGTCAGGCCATATTTACTCAGATTCTTGGAGTACCCTATCCAAAAGGTTTTTTCTCTCAAAACCATATGTTAACACCAACAGAATTTTATCCAGAAGCAGTTACTTCTAAAAACATGGATGCATCTGAACTAAGTCATACCACCACATATTTCAGATAACCTTTGATATTATAGATGTAGTACCTGCATTACTTTAGCTTCATCATCATCAAGGAAGCAAGATTACCAGAAATACAATGCATCTAACAACTTGTAGTACTTAACAGCACCATGCGTTTCTGGTTTAGTTTACAAACATAGTCAAACCGAACCTCTGTACCAGGAGTTGGTCTTCTCACAAAATATCTTTCAATATAAGAGTGTACATGTTTAATGAAACAGTTAATTCTTTAAATGTTTCTGTAGAGATCTGCAACAGTTCTAACTATCAGCGATCAACATCGTCTAGGTTTAGGAACAGAAAAACAAACATCAAATAATACTCATGATCACAACTTCAAACAACACAAAATATTAAAAAGAATAAACAGTACATGCTATTAATTCTTACTGGTCTCTTTGGCACAGCTAGATAAGTTTCTTTTATCTCTTGATTCTGACGCCCTAAATTCTAATGATGATTCTGAAAGAAGACTGTTCAATTTTGGACGGGCATAAAAAGAAGATTGATCCTTTCTCCACAGATTCTGTGCTTTTTTTCTAAATAATAAAAAGCCCCATACATCTGTATGTTGTTCCTATAGAACAAGAGTAACAAATGCATGATAAGTAAACTTGGATGGTTTTAGAGAGCAGGTGGTATAGGAGGAAGATTTAAAAGAAAAATTAAGAGCAACTAAATGATAAGAGAGAAAGGAAAGAGGGAGAAAAACTACAACATAAAAATTAAATATAAATGAAGCCAAAGTTTACAAGCTACCATTAAATGTAAAAAAGCAATAAAAGATGAGAACTGGTGTGTTTCTTGCTAGATAGTCAATCTCCTGAAGAAACTTCATGGATTGCATATGATGAATGCAATATTTTGAATGTGTTCCATCATAAGTGCTTCCGAGAGTTGATGAGTTGGGGCAGCTTGCAGAAAATGTAGAATTTTGTTGTAAAAGATGTCAGCAAGAAAGTAGTTAGATGTAAAATTATAATTACACCTAATCTGAGATTATTAAAAGTTAAAAATAGTCATTTTAAATCTTAACTTAAAGCACAACAAAAGTACATGTAAGGCATCAATCACCTACTTTTTTTATTTTCTGTAGAAGGTAATATATATACGTTATTTAAAGAGGTTAATGCATATTTAGATGAGGGTAAGGATGCAAATTTGGATTTGTTAAGAAAATTGTTTTTATAGGCAGAGGAGGAGGGGCAGTAATTTGGCTCATTAGATTAAAAATAGGTTGATGAAAGAAGGAGAGAGTTGTTTAAATGAAGCTCATCGTTAAAATCTTTGCTCTGTTTAATTTACATCAGTAATGTAAATTAAGGACTAGACAATAAATTACTTAAGATCTTGGGATTTGAAGGCTGCAAGGTGTTTTAACTAAAGCCTAACCTACCCTTTCTGAATCTTAAAAATTGTGTCCTCCTGGTGTAGAACAAAGAAATCAGATACTTTTATCCTTTTCATACCCCGCATAATCTAATAAACTTAAATAAGACCACCTTTTACCAATCTTTTCTCAAGAATAAATAAAAGATCTTAACCTGTCTCCATAATCATCTTAGTAGTCTTCCAATAAGTCATTATCTTTTCTCAGGAAAGGAGACTAAAACTGATGAATAACTTGAATGAACTTTGTAAGATTATGTGTATAAAAACTATAGTTTCAGAGCACTCGGCAGCAATGATTACCTAATAGTGTCCTGTGATATATATATATATATGTGTGTGTATTTTGATAGGTTGACATAAATTACATTCAAGCTCTGGCCCTTTTAATTGAAGCATGAAATTCTGATAGCGATTCATTTAAGAAACAAATGAGATGGACTTAGCTTTTGTGGAAAAGCTTAAAGAAGAGCAGCGTAAGGTAAGTTTAACTGTTACTTGTGAATTTGTGTTTAAGTTCTACAGGTAGAAATTGTATGGAATTAAATTTGCATGATTTCTTCCTTCAAGTTCAAGTCTGTTGGCTCATAATCATTACACATATTATCGTATCATTAAATGCACAACTTCTGTTAATGATAACTTACAAGTTTCCTACTTATCTTTTGTACAATCATCTTATCTAAGCTTAAGCTACACTTTATGCTGTAACATAACAGTCACATTCTTTATACAAGTTGATTGGTTTGTGATATAAAGTTATAGTGATTATCATAAATGTGACATTGATGTATGCTGAGCTACGGTATATAAATACTTATGTACTACGTTTTGGAAGGAGTTTGTGGTTTTTTCTTAGTACAACTTCTACAGGCACTAACATCGAGGTTTCAGTCTATCAATACCCGAGTTCATTGTGTAAAATGAATTTACATACATAAGTGTGTCTAGGAATTTGATTGTTTCTGTCATTTGTCCAGTGTTCAATAATTGTCGTTTGTAACTTGTCTTTACGTGTTAATAAACAGTGTATTTAATGACCTAGTTGCCATGTTACAGAACAGTATCACAATATTGAAGTATTTTTGTCGATTAATATTATTAATTTTATAGTTGCCTGTGTATTTTCATTTGATACATCTATGTCTTGGTTTGGAGGTTTTGATTTCTGAATGTATAAAATGTTTCCTCCTGCCAACTGTTTTTCTTCAAAGTAAAGACCTGTTATGTGTTGTTTTGTTATTCGTAGGACTGTAATTGTTTTAGATTAGAAATGTAAGTATTGTATATTAAGAGCTTAAATATTTTATTTATTTTACACATCCATGCAAGTTTATGTAAATATTACCGTATGTTTTATAGGCCCTTGAAAACTGTGAAGAAAGAATTGAACAATGGTAAGTTATAAGAATTATTTCCCTAAATATTTTTGAAAAGACAATGATATTGTGAACTTAAGAAATTTAAATTTCAGACATGTTCACCCAAGTACTTGTAAAATTTGCTTCTAATGGATATGTATTCAAATGCTAAAACAGAAACATTTCTTGGCAAGTGAAAAGCTTATTCATACTGAAGTTAAGAATATGAATTAGGCTTAGTATTTAATTAGGCTTAGCATGTAAATTTATGATAGATGTTTCTTTATAACTGTTATTAATCAAAAAGTTACATATTGGTATTTCACTTCACCATTGTGAGTCATATTTCATGTGTCTTTCATAAACGTATTTAGAAAGTTATTCAAGTAAGTTATTTCATAATTTAACAAATTTACAACATAAACTCTTTTTTTTTGTGTGTGTATGTAGATTGTTTTATTCACTTAAATATATTTTTTCCCCTCATAGTTCATTGTATTCATGAAAAATCATATAATCCACCAAAATAGTTATCAGAAAACACTTAAGTACACAATTTCAGAAAGTAGTAATTCAAAAAAAGACATATCTGCTAAGAAACAAGCTAGAAAGCAGACTTGTAAAGTTGGCACATACTTCAATTTGTAAATTTCAAATTCTTGCTTCCGATCACATCAGGCTAGGGCTGGGGAGTTCCAGTAGGCACTATTTTCAAGAATTTTTT